GAAGTGGGCTGTAGCCCAGGAAAGCTTATGCTCTAATAAATTTGTTAGTCTCTAAGGTGCCACAAGTACTCCTGTTCTTTTTGCGGATACAGACTAACACGGCTGCTACTCTGAAACCTGTGATTATTTTAATAATAATTTTAAATGAAAGGGGTTTGGTGGATTTTATTTTTTTTGAAGCTGACTCCATTCAACCCCCCCTCCCCTTATAAGAGAGGTTGTCAACTTTCAAAAGCTTTCCCTAATACCAAACAAGATATATTTATTTTTGAAGCCTATAATGTATCAGGTCTGTCAGTTCTTCTTCGGTGTTAGTTAGTAAATAAAGGAAAACTCCACTTCATCCCTCCTCTAAGTTGCATCTATTCAATCACAGCCTTTGAGACTATGAGAATTCTAGCTCTAAATGCCAATTGTCCCGATGCACTTTTTGTGCTGGACAGCTTTGTGGGAATTCTAAAACAATGAATTTTATACGTCTTTTGACTGATGCTTGTGACTCAACTGTCAGAAGTGATGAATGGCAGCAATTTGTAGAAGTCATCCATCTGGCTACCACAGGGAACTCCTCTGAATGCTTTTGGTCCATAGACAAACTGGGCTTGAAAACAATGGTGCCTTAGGTTTCTTAAGGCAGACTTGCAGGTAAAGAGTGACTTTAAAAGGTTTCTCCCCAAAGCAGTGTCCTGTGAGCTTGGTGAAGTGTGGAGGGCTAGATTTGGGCATTAAGGATTTAAAGGTGGTCAAACTTTCCCTCACCTTCCTGTTTGTAGAGAATCCTGTCATTCAATGGTAAATCCCTGAAGCATACATTGAAATTCTGCTAAAAGCTAGAAGCTTGCATGCATGAAAGCATCTATTCCTGACAAGAAATAAGACCTCCTTCTGCTTTTTACATGATGTTAAGAGGTCTCTATATCCTCAAAATAATTTTCTTAATGACTTCTAGTAGGAGAAAAGAAGGGACCAAAGACCATATTCTAAAACTCATAAAGTAGACTGTTGGCCAGTTGGCTTAGCCCTGCTTCAGAGCAGGGGGCTGGATTTGATGACTTCTCAAGGTCCCTTCCAGCCCAACATTTCTATGATTCTGTGGAGGCCTAGCAATCTGTGATGAGTGTTCAGATCACCATCTGGTAAACCTGTTTTTATTGTGAACTCTGCCCTCTAGAGTCTTGACACAAGGGCACTGAACATTTGTGCTTTTCTGTTCTTGTCCTGATCAGTGTGGCTGATCAAGGATCTTACCTCAAAGAATATATGTACAACCAAATTACACACTCCAAGAAAAAATACTGAAACTATTATGTAAATTCTGCTTTTGCCAATAATTTCTCTCCCTTTTCTAAAAAACTTAAAATATATATTTCAGGTAAGAACAACAACAGTAATATAGGGGTAACAAAGAAGGACTGTTGTATCTACAGTAATACCATCTATTTGATTCATTAACTTTTCCACATTATTCATCATGGCATCTTTCTGAGATCATATATAGTGTACTTTCTTGAGATACTATGTTTTTTCACCAAACCAATACACGGAGAAAGTGAATGTAAAAATGGGAATTCTCTACCCATTTATCCCAGACAATAAACATTAGTGGTTAATTCCTGTAAGCTTATTCAATCACAGCGTACATGCTTAGCCTAGGTGATTCAGAGGTGAAAGTAAGCCAGTACGCCCCGGTACGGCATACTGGCAAGGTGCGCCATACCGGGGCGGCCTGGCTTCCCCAGGTGGC